TGGCTTATCTCGCTCTCAAAAGAGGAGGCTACAGCGTCTTCGAGCCATAGGTCAAAAAGAAAAGGAGGCCGAAGATGTGGAGAATAAAATATGTAATAATTTAGAGCCTCGAACGACACCTAAGCGAGTGTGGAGACCTAAAGAAGTAAAAAGTAAGAGATCGGTGATTTCCCAAAGTAGGGATAAATCCAATTTGATGAGAGAAGAATCATCGGTCATTAGAGATAAGTCTCCTTCACATGATGCAATGGATGTTGGTGCGGTGTTCGTCTTGCCTTTGAAATCGTGCAATCAAGAAAGCCGATTTTGCTTGGGGGGCAAGACATTAATATGCTCATGAGGGAACCAAGAGAAGATGAATGGCGATGGATATGACATCACATCTTTGAGCCACCGTTTGTCGGATGCTAAGGCAAGGTATGGGTTTATTGTGTTCAACATTATATTATATGCCTATGCCATGTTAGAACATTGCTTGCTATCTAGCACATGTGTGTTTTTGCTTATCAAATTGATATTATACATACATGTTGCAAATGCCAGTTCTAGGTAGTAGAATTGGTAGGTTGGCATATAATTTGTTTGAAGTATGATTTGGCTCATGACTCTTTGATATTTATTTAAAGCCAAATCATATGTGTTTTTATGGATCACCATGTAAGATATAGATTTCATATTTATTGCACCATGAAAGTTTTGCTTACTCGTAATTCGGCTAATGTCAATGGTCAATGTGATGATTTGCTCTAGAGTGGTTTTCTTTAGGAACATTGGCATTGTTAATATTTTACATACATGCTCAAGCTGATTACTTACATTTGTAGTTTATTGGAATCTGTACATGTGACACATATGACTTTGGTGATTCATTATTGATTATACTTCAATTGGCTAAGTGTTTTGATGTCATGATGATTATTGTTTCAAAAGCCAATTGAATTAGTATTCATCTAGACATATTAGTTGAATGTTATAATTTTTCATATGTCTAGAGAGAAGAAGTTTTGGTCCAATAATTTGATGCACCAAGCATCTGGCTATTATGTGAAGAAAAATTATATACTAAAGGCCGATGCTTGATTTCAAAAGTTTGGACGAAATTGGCAAAGTCATAGACCAGGGGTGGTCTGACCGGCATTGCACAGCGGTCTGACCGGTGGTACCTGCGGTCTGACCGGCTCTGCATGGCCGGTCTGACCGGGCAGACAGGGTGGTCTGACCGGCATTGCGTGGCCGGTCTGACCAATCCCGGGCAGAGAGCTGGGGGGCACGTTACAATTGATTTAAAGACCGGATTAATTGTGAATTCGGATATTTGTGCCCATAAGTCAGAAATAGATTGGAGAATCCCTTTGAATAGAATATTTGAAAGGTCCTAGTCTTGGGGTTGATCGGAAGATTCTGTGGTAAGCGTTCAAATATTATATCGCCGAAATATAGATGGAGTGCTATTGATGTGTTTAGACAATGATCAATCTAAAGTTGCTAGGGGAGATGTGCATGAAGGGATTTGTGGAGTTCATCAATCGGCCCATAAGATGAATTGGTTGCTTAGAAGAGTGGAATTCTATTGGCCGAAAGTAATTGATGATTATTTCAAGTGCTACAGAGGGAGTGAAACTTGTCAATGGATCGGCAATGTTCATTTGGCGCATGTCGCTATATTGAATCCTATCATCAAACCATGGCCGTTCCGAGGTAGGGCTTTGGTTTTCATTGGTCAGATTTATCCATCGTTATCAAAAGGGCATTGGTTTGTGCTAGTTGCAATGGATTACTTCACTAAGTGGGCCGAAGCCGTGCCGCTCGAGAATATTACTTGTACGAAGTTGAGGTAAATCTTGGCTCTCTTCGGTATTTCAAGCAAGACGACTTGTCGGTTGGAGATTACAAGACCTTGATGGGAATTTTGAAGACGTCATCGACAAGCGTTTGAAGACTTTGAAGGAGATGAAGATGCTTCAAGATGGTGTTTTCAGAGAGCAATTAATGGGAAATACTTGAAGAAATACTTCCCGAGCATTTGGCAAAATGCTTAGGAAGTCCTATGGCCGGTAATTGGATTATCGCCCTAAGACAACATGTTCTATGCTTTTAGAATCACGATGTTCATCAAAAAGGCAGGGGGGCATGTGTTTACACCCAAATTTGGCACCTATGGACGAAATAGAGGAAAATTGCCAAAGTTTGGAAAGTGCTGGGCTTCCTTCACAGGGCCGGTCAGACCGTAGGTGTATGGGCGGTCTGACCGGCTAGTAGGGCCGGTCTGACTGCAGGTATGTGGGCGGTCAGACCGGCAGGGTCCGAGTCCGAGTCTATTTTCGTCGGGTCTCGGGTTTCCTTGCTCGGGAAGGCATGTTTCGTGTTTCCTTTGATTTCTATCCAGAGTTGGACGTGGAGAAGGGCCTGTAGAGGACAAGACCAACCCCTATTTAAGGGACAAGGCCGGTTCATTGTAAAACCCCCCGAATACAATCTACTTGAATCGTTCTTTTACTATGTTTTCTATTTTACCCTAGTTTTAGTCCATCTTTGTCGGTTTGCGCCGTAAACCGTCCGCCGCCGCTGCGAGAGTGCGACACCTCTTTGTAGGTTTGTCCTGAAAACCTTCCGTTTTGCCCACGAGACGGGTAGTTATCCTCATATCGATATAAATCAGCCTAGAGGCTGATTTTGATCTCTAAATCGGCTCCGCTAGCCGATTTAGCTTTTCTTTTTGCAAAATCCATCTTGATTTGGCCCTTTGGCTAGATCGGGGTGGTTGGCGACTCCATATCACCGCAAGGCGTTTAGGTGTTGCGGTCGTGCTTGTCGACTTGTCAAAAAAGTTGCCAACACCAGCATCTGAATCTCATGAGCTTGTTCTACTACAGAACGGTCATCGACCATCTTGTAGTCATAGAACTGCTCCATGACATACAGCTCACTACCGGCGTCAGAAACTCCGAACTTGGCCTCAAGTGCATCCCACATGTCCTTCCCAGAAGGCATGTGCATGTACACGTCCACTATGTTGTCAGCGAGTACACTGATCAATGCTCCCCGGAACAGGCAATCCGAAGCCTCGAACTTAGCCTCTTCCTCAGGAGAAAGAGGTGGTTCACTTCGTTTGCCCCGTGAAACATAGAAGCACTGCATCGCTGTCAACCACAATAGTGCACGTGCTTTCCATCTCTTATAGTTAGAACCATCAAAAGCATGTGGTTTCAGTGCAGCAGCAAAGCCAACTACCGAAAATGGCCTATCAGGTTTTTGGATTGTTGGAAATATGGTCATGAATCGGCATATTTTAATCCAAAATGTTAAGACAATAATCATGGCATAAGCAGTGTAGGGTGATCTAGTGACAACATGTAACATAACCAGTAGCATACTAAAGACATCATGCGCATCATGAATATCACGAACAAGAACATAGCAGTAACGCAATAGCATGCTAGAGGCATTATTCATGAATATCAGGAACAGGAACATAGCAGTAAAGCGCTAACAACGGGAACAGGAACAGGAACATAGCAGTAAAGCGCTAACAACGGGAACAGGAACAGGAACATAGCAGTAAAGCGCTAACAACGGGAACAGGAACAGGAGAAGGATATACCCCGAGAATGGCCCTCCGCTAGATTGTGAGGCAGAATTGCCTCCGTTGGTGTTGTTGTTCGCGCCACCGGCTCCAGCTCCTGGCGCACCACCTCCGGCTCCAGCTCCTGGTGGCGCACCACCTCCGCCATCTCCTCCAGCAGCAGCAGCGGCGCCGGCTCCAGGCGCAGACATGGTGGGGCGAGAACGAGCAGTCGTGCGGAAGCACTCTGTAACATACCGAAAATTAACCATTTTCTAATTCTGCATCATGCTGAGTCTTATGTTCTTAATAACTTCCTAAACCTAGGAAAATATAATTAGAGGGACCTTCTAAAACTAACTTGCATAAAATCTCTTTCTGGTATTTAACTTCTTTTGTGTTTTTCATTTAAAATACATGTGGTTGAATTGAGGTATTTCTTGATTTGGTTTAAAACCTTCTTTTGACTAAAATTTCTTTATTCAAAATTAGTTTGAAAACCCTTTCTATTTTTTTTTATGGATTATGGTCCAAGAAACCTTCCTAATTTTTTTCCCTTGAACCTAAACCAAAGTAATTCCAATTTTATTGGAATTAATTATTAGCCCATTCTTTGATCTTAAACCCATCCTTTGATTCTCGATACAAATATCCAAATTCTTCCTTTTGATCTAGCCACTGATTTAATTCCTGTGGCTTCATTTCCTCTTCGGCACAAGAATAGTATTATTGCAAATATTGTGAATAATTGCTCTTGTGCTAAGAAAATACCAATTTATATTCTTTACTCAACTTTCCCTATTAGCCACAAATAATTCTTCAAATACTTCTACTATCAAATTTAGGATTCAAATCCTATTTATCTGCCTCTATTTATTACCCCTACCTTTCATTTGAGTGCATCAAATTTCAATATATTTTATCTCCAAATTATTGCACTCAAAATAAATTGGGAAAAATATCTCCTTTGTTAGCTTTCTCCAAATTTAAATTCTCTTCAAACCAAACCATTCAAATTCCTTTCAAAATTGAGAAACCAATTCTACTTAAATTGGGCCGAAATTCTTTTTCTCCTTCGGCCCAAGCCGGCCCAACACCCAGCCGAGCCGCCAACTTGCGCCGCCGCTGACACCGTGCCGTGTTCGTCCTTCTCCGCCGCTGCCGTGCCTTGCCCTCCTCCTCCGCCGTTTTCTCCTTCTCTAAGAAACCGTCGCTGCTGCCCTTCCTTCGCCGCCAAGTCGCGCCGACGCCGTGCCGTGTCCTCCCTTCCCAGCCGCCCAACTCCCTGGCAGCCGACGTGTGTGCGCGCCGCCGTCGACATCCAATCGGAGCACAGAGCCGACGCCGTCATTTTCTTTTCCACGGCGCCGTCACGAAGTTCTCCTTGATCTTCCCCTCTGGAACCGCCTTGCGCCACCGCCTTTTGCCACCTATAAGTATTCGGCGAGGCTGCCCCTTTTCCCCTCCACACCATCGAGCTCTCCGAGCTCCTTCTCTCCTGGCCATTACCGGCCACCACCATCATTGGCCGATCTCCCTCACCGGAGTAATACCGGCCAATACCTCGCGCCATCGAGCTTTCCTCGATGAGAGGATTCCATTTTTCCCCTTTCCCCTCTCCTTTAGCCACCGCCACCACCCATCACCGCCACCCACCATTGCCGGCCGAAGAGAGCTCTTGTTGTCGCCGTTCCGGCATCCTCCCTCTCCCTCTCTGCCAGCTACCGACTTCCCTGGATGCGCGGTACTCGGGAACACTACCCGACACCGGCGTCGCCGTCTTCAAACTACCGAAGAGCCGGCGCCCCTCCTCCCTCTCTCCCTTCTGTTACCCGGCTGGAAGGAGGAGAAAGAAAGGAACGGGAGGAAGAAGAAGAAGGAAAAGAAAAAGAAAAAGAAAGGCTGACAGGTGGGCCCCTGCACAGTAACTCTTCGTATTTTCTCTATTTAATTCAAATCCTAATCTTTAGAAGCCTATATCTCCTAAACCGTAGATCCGATTCCAGTCAAACTTGGACCTAAATTCATATAAACTCAAAATCTATATTTTGATACCAAATTTGCTATTTTAAGATTTTATTTGAATTTCCTTAATTTATTCAAATACTATTTGAATAAATATTTGATTAAATCTTATAATTGAATTTACAACTTAAATTTATATTTGCTTTTCAAATATTTTCTTTTATTCCAAATTACCCCTTTAGCCACTAAAAAGCCGCCGGTTGGAACTTTACGTCTTCCATGGGGACGTTCGCGGTTTACTATCCCCGACGTCGGACCGTTGGTTGTAAAGCCCGGCAAAAACCAAACCTAAGGTCGAAGTGCTGCTCCTGGCACCCCACGCCTTGATGCGTATAGTGGTCGGAGCTTCACTATTCCCTCGACCTCCACAGCACGCCGCACAGTTAGCTCTTGGGCTCTGTGTGATCCTAGCCGCTCCGCCGCCACTCACGGTTGTCGGAGTAACACTTCCGCCCCACTAAACCCACACAAACTTCATACCCCACTAGCCGTTATGCTATTTGTTGACACCGGCCAGAGAAGATACCAATTCTAGTCGTTATACTGCCCAACTCTAGCAACGACTAGCAAACACCCAAATCCCAGCCGATATTCATCCTACCTCGATATCAGCTGCTTAATCAAATGAAACCCCAGCCAGCCTACTATCCAAACTCCATACCAACCATTTACCCTTCTACTACCCATAGCCTATGCATGAAATACGAGCCGATATGCTATCCTATTTCAGCATCGACTCGAGAACAACTAAATCCTAGCCATTCTCCTACCAAAGCCCAACCTCGACCAATGCTAGCCACATATCCACTTAACCAGTTAGATTATTCGGTATATCCCCTATTATCCAAGAAACCAAAAACCACACATAAAATATAAGTGACAATTGTTACTTAATCCCCTCTAGCCTCCAACCCTTCAGAACATACACATATTAGCCCAGTAATCCCTACACCCTATAAAGGAGATAGGTTATACCCTAAACCCTAGCCCTTTTAGTTGTTTATCGTTTTCTTGTTATTTTATGGATTTTATTGAAATTGGTTCTTCCTCTTTCTTAGTAGAGTCTATTTTATTTTGGATGGCAACCTGTGGTATTTCGAGGATCGGATAATCAGGTTGTCTATCTTGGATTTATTTGCGTTGGAGCAAGGCAAGTTATTATTCCTCCCTTGAACATAATTACCCTATATTCTATATTTCTATTCTATGCATTAGCCATTCATGATTTTGAATGCATAACCTGAATATATAGCAAACCAGATATGCTAGCTTTTGCTTAGCCCTGCCTAGTTAGACTGCATAAAAATATAATGAACTTAGATTGGGACAGTACGTAAAATTTGGTTGATTTCCGGGTGGCTAGTATTGTCTCAGTCGATATAAGTTTACCAAATACTTATGTCAAACGAACGAGTACGACCGCAGCTTCTAGAATAGGGACAGACCTAGATATTATGTTAATTAACAATGTGATACCTCTGTACAGTGGTTCCTTTTGTATGTCCTCGCGTAGGAGGCAATCTTATGCCGAGCAGGGCATCTTATGATATTTACCGAGGCGCAGGTAAATATACTGATTTTCGCTCATGAGCTATGTGTGTGATTTTATGGAAACCTGGTTGAGATGACGTGGGGTCTCTCATCCAGTTCTCTCTAAAAACCCCGAGAACGCCAGAACTCCTCTCGCTGCTGATAACGTTACGTTCAGAGCGCATGGGGACTAGAGTTCATGGAACAGGTGCCACAATTATTGATAACCTAATACTGGGCCATGACTAAGCTAATGAATATTGGCAAGTCGTGGACTGCGGGTAAAGCGTACATCTACTGCAGTAGAATATTCATGAAACTATTCGAATAGCCGTGCTCACGGAATTGAGTATCGGGACTCATATGGTATTTGGTTAGAAACTTAATTCCAAATTTTATTAAATACTGTTGCATCAAACACATTGCAGGATTTATCCTTCTATATTCTCTGCTTACTGCAAGTAATCATAGCCCTACTGAAATACTACTAATTCATACATTCATATTGAATATAATAGCTTGCCGAGTACATTGTACTCACCCTTGCTTCAACCCCCTTTTTCAGAGTCCATTTGGATCGAGTTCTTATCAAAGCCGGGAGTTCAATCACATAAGTTAGTTCCCTTTAAACCTAGTCTTGAAATCTAGTATTGTTAGATGGTTTAACTCTATAGCAAAACATTAGAGTTGATTTATTCTATAGTTTCTGCTATATTAGTTAGCCACAAGTTTGTAAATACCCATGTATTTTATAATAATATCTCCCTTGGAGCCATGTCAAAATGTATGCAATGAAGATCCAGATTGTTGAACATGTATCAATCTACTGATCTAGGGCTTGATACAGTGTAAACATGTCGGTTTCTGAATCGTTAATTTTGGGACCCGACACACTCCCCAAAAACTTGATCACCCGCCTACCCGGTGCAGATCGTGGGAACGTGGACGCGCTGTTGCGGAGGCAGTCGTGGGAACGTGGGTTAGTGGCTGCAGGTTTCTGAATCGTTAATTTTGGGACCTGACACACTCCCCAAAAACCTGATCACCCGCCTACTCGGTGTAGATCGTGGGAACGTGGACGCGCTGTTGTGGAGGCAGTCGTGGGAACGTGGGTTAGTGGCTGCAAAAGAGTAGCGACGTGACGCATGCACGCACGCCCGCCTCGACCCCCACCTCAACCAGTCAACAGGGAGCCTCCAATAATTCCCTATTTAGGTTGAGATATTCCTCGCTTAAATCCTAAGGTGGTTTTATTATTCTTAACACTTATTATGGGCCTTTGAGATTTAATAGGATAAGTTGGGCCTAGCCCAATTATTCTAACATGGCCGACCCGGCGTCGCAGGGGCCGCTACCCCCGCCGCACCTTCTACCAGCTCGTCGACGTCAACCTAACTTGCTCTGCCTCCGCAACAACCCCAAACTCTGCCCCTCCATGACAGACGTCACCCGAGCACTCGAGCACGTACGTCGCCTCCCAGTCCCAGCCATGGGAAGACAAGCAACGAGCCACGCCTGATTGATTCAGCCCACCTCCTTCTGAGGGGCAGACCCACGATGATTCATGGGTATTCAAATGAATACCCAAGATTTTTAAACAACAAATATATATATGAAGTTCCATATGTATATATGAAAAAAGAAAAAAAGCCTACCTATTCAAAAGAAGCTTAAACTAAAAACGTTTCCTATCCCTCCCACCATTTTTCTCCCCACTATTTCAGGCCCATTGGTCCAATACCAAAAAAAAAAAAAAAAAAGCCCAAACACTAGTCTAAGTTTCTAACCCTAGCTCTCACCACCATCCCAACTCTCCCGGTCCAGCCGCAAGGCGCCGGGGCGGCAGGGCGGGGATGAGGTCACATTAGCCGACGGTGGTCATGGTGACGCAGAAGCAGGATTTGCAATTTCGGTGGTTGCTGAAAATTTGGTGATACCCGGACTAAAATTATTTGAATTTTTAATATATTTTGATTGAATTTGAATAAATTTTGACCAAATTTACAAATATTTGACAATAAATAAAAAATTTTGGAGAAATTTGTGTTTGCCAGTGGGGGCCGAAATTATAGAATTTCGAATCGAAATTTCAAACCATGCTTAGAAGTAAAGGGCGTCGAGGCGCGATTGATGCGGGTGCCGAACATGTGGAGAGAAGGAGGCCGCTAATATGCAGGACCTACGTGGGTCCCACGCGCCACGTCTGCTTAGACCAGAGAGTATACTGCCTAGGATCTGCGGTGTAGCAGTTTTATAAGTTAAGGGACTCGTTATATCTAGTATTTCGGTTCAGGGATGAATTTCAGTCTCGGTGACAAATAGAGGGATCTAAAGAAAACTTGTCCTAGATCCAACGGCTAACGTTATCCTTAGTTCCTACAATACTACATCCATTTTCATTTTCTTTTAAATAGATGGCACCGTTGACTATTGATTATGATATTTGATGGAGTAATTATTGATTTTATTACAAAATTATATAATACTCCTATATTTTAATGTGACCTGCTTTATCATTAAAGAAATTTTAGTATGAATAATATACTATGTTTTAAATTAGATGAATATGGTTAAATGTTATTTTCAAAATACGGGTGTAGTACATGATACCGAATTATTGATTAAGAGAAAATGTTTGGTTCCTTCGCCAAGTTGTCGAGAGTGGGTTTTTTCTTCATTCAAGCACATTGTGACACATGGATAAAAATGCTTCCAAAATTTAATCAGCTACTGTTAGAACTCGGTTCATTAATTAGCGTACAAAATGGATATAAACAACTAGTAATATTTTTTTTATGAAATCTGGATAAATCTATTTTGCAATTTGATTATTCATAATATGCCTCCGATGGTACTAATTTGACTAATGAAAAACCATCGTTAGTAACCCCATACAACATCTCAGAGATTAGATATTGTTTGACACAACTTCAGTCCAAGATGTTGGAATTTCGTATTCCTAGCTACATGGATCTATTGATTTGGATGTGTGATTAGATGGATGAGTGTGCGTACATTGTAAGCGTCTGCATTTACATTGTATTTCTAGAAAAAAATGATTGACAATATTTAGAAGAATTATTTTGTTCATTTTTTCTGCGAGGGGAACTATTTTGATCGATCTTATTTTATACCAAATGTAAAATTCTAATCTACTGCAACTAGTAATGTGCTTGTGCTAACGCTACGGAGATCTATTATATTATTAAAACAGCCTTGAAAAGAGGCACCATGTTCGCTGTGGAGGTTAGAAATTTCCACATTAATCAGATAAAAAGAAAAGAAGAGTCCAAGTATAAATATAATTTAAAAATAGCTGAAATTCGGAATTAAAAATAAGCAATATAAAAATAAGAGTTTATATAAGAACCCAATACGAGAGTAATCAAAATTCGGAATAAAAATAAAATAAAATCTGAAATTAGAAAAGAAGAAGAGTGCAAGTAGGAATACAACTTAAAAATAATTGAAATTCGGAATTAAAAATAAGGAATATTGAAAGAAGGGTCCATATAAGAACCCAATACGAAATTAATTAAAATTTAGAAAAAAAAATAAAATAAAATCCAAAATTAGAAAAAAAAATAAAAGAAGAGCTCAAGTAGGAATAAAATTCGAAATTAAATATAAGCAATATTGAAAGAAGAGTCCACATAAGAACCAATACAATATTAATTGAAATTTAAAATAAAAAATCAAACAAAACTAAAATTAGAAAAATAAAAAGGAGAGTTCAAGTAGGAATACAATTTTGGAAAAAAGTTCAAATTGAAAATAAAAAAAAAATAAGAAATATTAAAAGAATAGTCTATATAGAACACAATACGAGATTAATTAAAATTCAAAATAAAAAATAAAATAAATTCATAAAATAGAAAAAGAAAAATAAGAGCTCAACTATAATACAATTTATAAATAACTAAATTTTTTAATAGAACATAAAAACTGTTGAAATAAGGGACAATAGAACACAGGACGAGATTAATTAAAGTTCGAAAAAAAAATTTTATAAGAGTTCAAGTAGGAATATAATTTATGAATAAAAATATCGGAATGAAAAATATGCAATTTCTTTTTTAAAAAAAGTCCATCTAGAACACAACGATGACAAATGATAATAAAGAGGGGAGAAGCAATAGGCCTATAAAGGAGTAGAGTGCTAATAGTTGATGTGATATTTAAAAACTATAAAGAAAACCTCAATAGAATCCCAATGACGATTAAGAGGAGTAATGATGGGCATGCCGTTAAGCAGCATGGTCACGAAGATTGGCGGGACTTATAGAGAGTAAAAATAAACCCCAATAATAATCATGTTCGATTTTTAAAATCTCAATGACAATAAGGAGGGGAGGTAGCGGGCGCGTTGCAGGGGAGTACAGTGGCAAAGCCACTAAAGATTTGGCGAGATTTATAGAAAGTAAAAAAGAACACAAACAATAATTATTATCGATTTTTAAAATCCCAATGACGATAAAGAGAGGTGGCAGTGGACGGGCCATAGAGTAGTAAAATTGGCGATGTTTGATGATACTTCTAAAATTTATGAAAACGAAACCCAACAAGACAAAAAAACTCTAAAACTATAAGGCCTAATGTTCCAAAGAGAATAAATAGAAGTAGTGGTAGATCGAGCAAGCAAATAAAAAGGTGACAAAGAAGTAAGGGGTAGCGACTGGCGTGCCTTTTAAAATCTATAAAATTGTTGGAATCACGGGAATGATAATTTTAAATAAAATCATGTGTAAAAAATAGATAATTTTAAATTGATGCTAGCCGCGCAATTGCGCGGGCCGCCCAACTAGATTTATGTAATGTAAGAGAAAAACATATATATACACGTAAATAAGACCTATTTTCTTTGATTTGTAGGGATTATGCATGTGTTTTGAGCATCATGTATATATAAAGTCAAAGGTATAATTTGTAGATCAATATATTTTTCATAGATTTTGTCAACAATTCAAGTTATTAGAGCTATAAATGAATGGCATGCGAGCGCAATAGCCAACTACTAGCTTTAAATTATATATAGCCAATTCATACAATAGTTGCTTACTATACTATTAATATCTGGTCTCACCTGTCATATAAACATTACGTCTTGATGTTCGTGCTGCAGCTAGCCTGCTGCTTTTCTCTCTTTTCTTTTATCTTTTTAAAATATGTTTATAGCTGGCTTATAGTCTGCTATTGTCTCTACTCTCCAAGATCATTGTATGGTTATGGATACCACATACCTAATAGTAGTTGACTAAATCTCGGCAGGACCCACCACATACCATGTCCTATACGGAAACTGACTTCAGTTATGGAGGGAGTTCCGGATAAGGAAAGACAACCAGAGTTCTACATGGAAACGACAAGGACTACTCGAATTGTATCCATATTGGTTGCCCTAGTTCTACTTGGACAAGGGGATACCTGTCACGCCCAGAAATTCTCGAACCAGAATTTCTAAGCTGAATGTGCATTAAATCCCTGTCCAGGACCAGCCAGGGTACACAAACGACAATTGTTGACATACAGATCCACGTCTTACAAAAATAGAAAAGATTACAAATGCAGCGGAAAAGATAAAAGCGAGCTAAACCGGGAGGCTTGACTTCAGCAGCGGGCGACTCCACTCCACAGGCAATCCTTGACGGCAGCGACGAAACCAACTTTGACAAAACAGCTCCAACTAGGAAGATCTTCAGCTCTGCTGTGGGGGAAAAGAGAGCAAGACTGAGTACTACCCACTGTACTCAGCAAGTCATACCGGAAGAGGAGGTATGATGCATGATATAACCAAAGGAAGCTAGGGGTTCTTTTGCATAAAGCAGGCATTTCAAAGCAGTAGTTGAAAGCAGTAAAACAGCTGTAGTAATTAATCAATATTAACCAATCACTGTCCAACGCTACACCACGTTGCAACAGGCCCAACCAACCACCTGAACTACACCAGTTCATTAAGCTAAACTAGGGGTGAGACTAATCACGGTGAATCTGGTTGATCGCCCATAACCGCGGGCACGGCTATTCGAATAGTTTTACTCTGGCCAGAGGTGTACAACTGTACCCACAAGACACGATTCCACACATGTCGCCATGCCCCGAAGTATCACCATGATACTGCAAAGGGGGAAATCGTGACAAGACCCTCCACATAACCCTCCCCTAACCATCCACACCACGCTAAGGTTTCACCCCCACCCCTCAAAAGGCAGTGGGCGGTCCCCTCTTGCGCCGCGGTGAATCCGGCAGCTGGACAACCGGACACCCCGGCCGACCCAACTCCATCACGCCCACCCTCGCCACCGGTGCCTAGGAAAGGGTCGAGCTATACTTCAGATCAAGCAGTTACCCACTCCCGCTTGTGGTAAGCACGGTAAGTCTCCCAGGGTTTCCCGTGAACCGGTCCTTAACTGCCATGGGTGCGACCAGCAAAACCATGCACCCACAGCCCACCATTCAATGTATTTTAATTAACTAACACCATTGCGGTGGCACCAATCCAAAGCTATGCTCATAGTCAAAGTCTATGTAATAATGTGATCCCCATGTGTGTGCTAGTTGAACTAAGCATGGCTAAGCATTTCCTAAACCAACATCTAGTCATTTTGATACCCAAGTTATCAATGGCATAAGGTAAACAATAAATGGCTGAGTATTAGGACCCATCCCACATGACATTGTAAAAGGATGCAACATTTAATAGAAATGCGGGATATTTGTAAATTGGGTACAATATGATCAAACGTATTGCATGACTTGCCTTGCTCTCGCACTGACGAGACCTCAGCAACGTCTTCGAGAAACCGTGGATCGACGAAACGGCCGAAACCTACGCGACAAACAAAGCACACAAGCAAAACATGCTATAAGACTACAGAAACAGGAAACAAAACCATTTTTAATGGATTCTTTGCATTTTTCTTGATTTACTGAGACTTGAATGGACTTAAACGGAGCTCGGATGAATTACTTATGAATTTTAGAAGATAAACTGTGTTTTTACTAATAAAGAAAAGTCCTTAATTAATTATTGCGCAATATTGCCCCAGGGCTGACGTCAGCAAGGGGTGGGGCGGCACCGACATGCGGGCCCCACTGGTCAGCGGCACTAAGAGAGGGAGAGGGGGCGGCTGGCAAGCGGGCCCCATGGGTCAGCGGCACAAGGTGGCCGGTCCACCGTGTACCGGGACCACGCGGGTGGTCCACCGCCGGTCCACAGGACCGACGGTCCGGATCGGCCTCAAAGGCGATCGGACGGCGCGGGGGAGGCGGCTAGGCACGGCTCGGCTTCAAAGCCGACCGGCAGCCATGGCGGCCGGTGGTGACACGCGCGGTCACCGGCGATGACCGGCGGCGGCGCGCGAGCGCCGGCAACGGCAAGCGACGGCGCGGGAGGCGGCGGCGGACGGCGCACAGACCGGCGGCGGCAGACGAAGGCGACGGCGCACGCGCGGAGGGCGGCGGCGCTCATGGGAGAGAGAGGAAAGGAAGGAGGAGAGGGGATTCCTCACCGAGGCGATGGCGGTGACCGGCGTGGGAAGAGACGAGCGGCGGCCGGCGCTTCCGACAACGGCGGACGGGGTCGAGCACAACCTGGGAAAGGCGATGACCGGGTTAGGGAGAAGAGAGGAGCCGCGGCACGGCGAGGAGAAATGGCCGGAGATGGAAACCATGGCGAGCTCACCGGCGGCGCGAGGGAGACGGCGCTCCGGCGGTGATTCGCGGCAACGAAGCGGCGGCCGAGGTAGCTCTCGCGGCGGCGAAGCTAGCGGCGGTGATTGCGCGGCGTGGCGACGGCTCTAGCGACGGCAGCGTGCGGCCGGAGGCGGCGGCAAGCGGCGGCGCTAGCGGCGAGCGGCGCGGGCTCGGTAGGAGGCACGGGAGGGGACGGCAAATGGGGGAAACGAGAGAGGGAGCTCGGGAGAGTGATTTAATGGGCGAGGGAGGGGAGGACGTGGCCGGGAACCCTCCCGATTTAGCCGGCGACGTGGGGAGGAGAGAGAGAAAGAGGGGTGGGATTCGAACTCGAATCCCGCCCTCTCGAGCGCGCGCGCGGGCCGGGAGATGCGGGGGAAGAGGCGGCGACGTGGGGAGGACGCGGGAGCGGCGCGGCGTGGGCGCGGAAAGAGCGGAGGAGGCGGCGGCGTGGCGGATTCGGCGGCGGTTGCCGTTGGAGGCGGGTGGCTGGAGGAAGGGGACGACCTGACAGGTGGGCCCCACCTGTCAGCGTCCCGGAGAGAGGGGGAAGGAGAACGGGCCGGCCCACAAGGGGAGGCCGAGCGCGGGCGACGGGTGGACTGGGCCGACGGCCCAAGAAGAGGAAAAAAGGAGGAAAAAGGAAAAAGAAAAGAAGAAAGGATTTTCCTGGGATTAAAATTGCACTTTGGTGATTTTTAATTGATAAAAATTATTTCCAAGGCTCTGAAAATTCCACTAAAAATCCTGTTAGCATTATTTGACATGTAGAATCCAAGAAAAATTCCACATGCCGATTCCGATTATTATTTGCATTTATTAATTAGGGAATTAGCTCTAGGTTAATTAAGATAATTTCTTCGGACGATTTATTTAGCCAATTTTTAAAGCAAGCAAAGGGGGGAAAACTTCAGGGCGTGACAATACCTATGGGTATAAATACAAGCCCCCCTAGGAGGACAGGGGGACAGACAGACTCACCATGAGACGACCAACACGATCACCACGATCGGGATGACCACCTCATCGATGACCACCACGAGACCATGGAAGACACCCATGACAATCAACACACGCCCACCAGAAGCCACAACATACAAGCCAACATACGCCAAGACATGCCGCCGGATATCGACTTCAGGATAGGCATGGCTATTCCCCTACGATTCCTCCGGATACCGTCAGGAGATACGAAAGCGCTATCTCTGATCTCGCCGGGCACGGATTCGAGGAGGAAGACTACCCTGTTGTCGACTACGAGTCAGACCTTCAGACCGACATGTCGACAACAGTTAGATAGGCTACCCCACATATTGTACTGGTGTGGTTATGGTAAATAAAAGCAACTCCGGCTCCGGCCAACAGGATGTAGGGTTATTACCTGACCACTCAGGGGCCCGAACCTGTATAAAAATTCCTGTCTCCATCTCTTTTACCTCAGTCTCGCGTATATCCTAGCACCGACGATCCCCATACTGTCCAAATACCGTAGTCGAGACATCAAACGTCGACAATCATGTCCATTCAAAAAAATAGGAGTACAATTTAGGATAAAGGGTGTCGGAGATATGGGCCCAGGGGTATGCAAAGTGGCCCATCCAGCCACGTGGCCCTACAGCCTGGCCCTACCCCCACGCCTCACGAATTGCAGAAGTGGCCGAGGAGGGGGGGCTCGGGGTGCCACGTCATGCCCCTCGGGCCCTCGCGCTGCCTTGCCCCGAGGCCCTCGCCCAACTGCCATGTGGTAGGGGGAGCGAGCGGGGAGGGGACCCAGGCTGAACCGCTATCAATGCGCGCGGCGCCCCAACTGCCCCTCACCGCATTTAATGCGGTAGGGGCAGACTTGCAGTGCCATTTGACTGACGCACGTCAGTCAGGACTGACCAAGTATGTGACCGGCCCATCGCCGGTCAAGACCGATTGGACAGGCGGCCGTGCCCCCACGTCGCCTCTGTATCCGGTGGAGTGGAGGTAGGTATGACCCGTCCCATCGGAGCGTCATTCGGAGCTCCCTCCACGAGAGGAGGACCACCACAAGTCTTCACCCATTTATGAGGGGATGGCAGGGTTGTCCCTCGTGTCAGGCGAGGGGCGGCGCTGGGTCGCGCTCAAGGACAGGCTGCTGCTTAGCTTCCGAGCGAAGGCGCGGATCGTGGCACGGACAAGGTGAAGTGGGTCCCCCTCCCATGAAAAAGTAGGTAGAGGCGGTGCATGTGGTATCCCCTTGAGCTATAAAAGGAGGACCTTGCCCACCGAAAAAAGGGACGACTCTCAGCAAGCCTGAACTTTAGGAGAAGAAGAGCGAGAGCCCTCTCCGGAGTTTAGGAGCCTTTGTAACACTCAACCTTAATCCCACACACAGGAGTAGGGTATTACGCTCCATAGCGGCCCGAACATGTATAATCTTGTCGCTCATACGTGACTTAGTAGCATTAAGGGCGGATACGCGATCTCTAGAGGCAAGCTCTTTCCCCCGACCGAACTCACAAAAAGGGCGATCTCACGATCTCCCGCTAGAGAGGATCACTCCTTGACAGAGGGAGATGTACTATTGCATTGGTAGTTCACACCAGCTAGTAGAACTTGAGAGTTTTTTTTCTGTTAATATTGTGCTCCCTCCTGACGCTTGCGCTCATCCCACTTTTGCGCACCACGCTGTGGCTGCGCCAGCGTCACTATGACCCCCCCCCCCCCGAAAAAACCCGTTTTCTCTTCCCTCCTTCCTTTCTTTTCCTTTCAGTTGCATTCTTTTTCGCCGGTTAAGCTGGCAAGCTGCATGCCACTCACAGCTGCCCGAAAGGAGGTTGGCTGCTATTTTGAAAACCACCTGCATATTTTGGAAACCCTCTATTAAGGGAATTCGTTTCATTTCTTTTGTTCCACTAAAAATGTTTCACCTAGTGTACTCACAATGTTTCACTATGTATAGATCTAATGTTGCAGTGAATTGAAATATTTTTTTTGCAACAAATCACCCACATATGATGGAAACCCTCTATTAAGGGAATTCGTTCATTTGTTGTTCCACCAAAAATGTTTGACCTAGTGTACTTATAATGTTTCACTTTGTATGGATGAAATATTGCAGTTACTTGAAACATTCTTTCGCTATTTGCTGAAACATTGTTTTCATATAAGGTAAAACAACGCTCGACTTAAAAGATTGAAACATTTTTTATCTACCTAGTGAAACAATTCTGATATACTTAGTGGAACAACGTGCAACATTTAAAAATGATTCAATAATAAGCTAGTTTTTTCATCGGAATATATCCATGTGTGGTCTTGTTTTAAATATTTAATTACAACGAATTTAATCGTGTAATCGGATCATGATTTGGATAAATAATTTAAGAGAAAAAAATATTTTAAAATAGTTTTGCATGCATGCATGCTTGATGACGTCATGCTGACGTGGGCATCTGATCTTTTGCAATAGATCGGATGTCCGATTTATAGTAGCCTCCGCCGTCAAGGCCTGCCATATGCTGCAATTTCAACCATCCCTAAAAATATGGTATTTCTTATTCCCAAGATAAAGGAAAATTTAGAATATATGTACTATATTGGCACGCATACTAAAAAGAAATTTAAAAGGTGCATTCATTTAATTTGATGCGTTGAAGGGTCGTCGTCAGACACTAGCTCTCATTGGAGATTAATGTACTCGCTTTTTTATATAGTTAAGGCGTGTACGTATTTTAATATTTAAATCTGAATTTTGATCAATGATTAGTCTAATATTAATAAATAATATCACTGAATTGACTCAAATTTACTTTTCTATTGTTGTAGTTTTGTTCATACAAATATCGTATTATTTAAGAAACTAAGAAGTCCAATATTAGTTTTGAAGATAATGTTAAATATGACTACGCATTATATTAGGTGCACAATGGATAGAGGATAGCGTGCATGCACACCATTCAATCGTTCATTTGTTCTGGCGTGTATACCTTGGGCTTTCCATGAACCTCACATTCCATCAATCTTCGACCCAGCCTGCTAGTCACACAAAAAGAGACAACTAGCCGTAGAAAATTCTACCGGTTGGGTTTTGGCTGTACATGTTTATCACATCAAAGGAATCAAGCGGATGTTTCTTCGTCACCTTATAATTAGGTAAATTTTATTAGTACTCCCTTCTTCCTATAATATAAGGGATTTTGAGTTTTTCTTACATTTTTGACCACTCGTCTTATTCAGAAAATTTATGCAAATATAAAAAACGAAAAGTTGTGCTTAAAGTACATTGAATAATAAAGTAAGTCAAAAAAAATAATTCCAAAATTTTTTGAATAAAACGAGTGGTCAAACAGTACAAACAAAAACTCAAAATCCTTTATATTATGGGATGGAGGGAGTATACGGTGGTGTTTCGATCTAGGGACTTAACTTTAGTCTCTGTATTTCGACACTAATTTCGAGTATTAAATATAGACTACTTACAGAACTAATTACATAAATGAAAGCTAATTTGCGAGACAAATTTTTTAAGCCTAATTAATCCATAATTAGAGAATATTTACTGTAGCATCACATAGGCTAATCATAAATTAATTAGACTTAATAGATTCGTCTCGCGAATTAGTCCAAGATTATGGATGTGTTTTATTAATAGTTCATGTTTAATATTTATAATTAGTGTCTAAACATCTGATGTGATAGGGACTTAAAAGTTTTAGTCCCATCTAAACAGGGTCATAATCTTTCTAGAACCAAGAAAAGTCACGCTATGGTGGTGTGGATCGAGACCAGTAAACCGGGCAGCAGCTGGTCCGGCATTATATATGTATACCGGAGGGTCTATATATAAGTAGCAAACTAATGACCAGAGAGAGTAGTGCTAGCCAGTAATAAGCACCTCTAGCCAAGAAATCAGACTGGACGACCGGCCGGCGCCACGCCGGAGTTCGTTCACAAGTTCTCGCCGGTGAGCCTGCGTTCGATGTTGAAAAGACGAGGAGTGGCTGCGCAGCAGCGGGCGCCGGAAGCGATGGTTCTGGCGGCGGTGCTCCTCCTGATGATCGCCTACGGCGTGGCCCGGAACGAGGCGGCGGTGCCCGACTCCAGTCTCTCCTGCCTCTCCATGCCTCGCCAACAAGACGGCGCGACAACTCCAAATCGGCGTTCCTTATCCGTGCACCCGTCGTGCTGCACTAGTAGCCCCCCGCCGAGCTGCTATAAACCTCAACCCTGCCCACCGTCCTAATCGACCGAAAAGGCCAAAATATATACATACACAAAAGTTACCATATATATTTCAAGATCGGTGGAAGTACTTACAATATATATTAACGTGTTGTGTCATACTATGTCAGAATTTACAAGCTAGCCTACTACTCCTTCCGTTTTAGGTTTTTAAGACGTTTTTAACTTTGGTCAAATTTAAAGCATTTTAAATTTGACTAAACTTATAGACAAGTATAGTAATATTTATAATATCAAGTTAATTGCATTAAATCAATAATTGAATATATTTTCATAATAAATTTGTCTTGGGTTGAAAATGTTATTGTTTTTTCTTCAAACTTAACCAAATTTAAAACAATTTGATTTTGACTAAAGCTAAAGTGTCTTGTAACCTGAAACGGAGGGAGTATGTCAGAAACAGGGGTCAGGGAGGTCCGCGGCTATCATCGATCTCGAGTCGAGACTCAGTTGATCGAGGCGTCGAGGGTGCAGTGTAACGCAACGTACGTTTCGTCTTCTCGCTTCTAACCTCGCTCTCTGTTAGACTGTTTTATCTCACGTCTTCACGAGGACTCACCAACGAACCACCAGGAACGACCACTGGTGGAGAAGTGCTTTTTAGTCCCGGTTCGTAACCCCCTATAGTCCCGGTTTTCAAACCGGGACTAAAGATCGCTATCTTTAGTCCCGGGTGAAAAAACCGGGACTAAAGATCGATCTTTAGTCCCGGTTGATGTCCCGGTTGGTGTCATCAACCGGGACTAAAGAGAGGGTAGCGGCAGTCCATCAGCTAGTCCTTTTTTCTTTTTTATTTTCTCCCGAATCGAGTGGTATGCATATCATCAAATCAAACCCCAAATCCACATCACAACTCCACAGCACGATTCACAGATTCACCACAAATTCATTCACAATATCCATTCACATATTCATTCACAACATCACAAATATATTCACAATATTGATTCAAAGGTTCATTGACAACATCGAGTCACATACTCATTCACAACATCACAGATTCATTCACAATATCGATTCATAGATTCATTCACAGATCAAAACATCCAAACCACAAATTAAAAAAAATCAAAAAAAAAATCGACTCACTGGCCGGCCTCCCATCCCGCCGTCGGCCGGCCACCCATCTCGCCGCTTCCCCTCCGGCCGGATCTGGGGGAGGGGAGGGCGAGGCCACCGGCGACCGGCCTCCATCCCGCAGGCCCGCGCCGGGCCGCCGCCGGCCGTCCTCCATCCCGCCGCTTCCCCTCTGGCCGGATCTGGAGGAGGGGAGGGCGAGGCTGCCGGCGACCGGCCTCCATCCCGCCGGCCCACGCCGGGCCGCCGCCGCCCGTCCTCCATCCCGCTGGCCCGCGCCCGGCCGCAATCCCGCCGCCGCCAGCCGGCCGCCGCCAGCCCCAGCCCGCACCTGGCTGCCGCCAGCCCGCGCCCGGCCGCCTCCATCCCGCCACCGCCGGCCGGCCGCTGCCAGCCCGCGCCCATCCTCCATCCCGCCGCCGTCGGCTGCCTCTGCAAGAGGAAGAGGGGGAGGGGAGGAGGAGAGGGGGTGAGAGAAGAGGAAGGGGAGAGGATGAAGATAAGGAAGGAGAAGAAAAAGAGATAAGGATGGGCTACGCATGCGCTTGTGCGTGGGCTGGTGCGTACGCTTTATTCCCGGTTGATATTATCAACCGGGAGTAAAGATCCATCTTTAGTCCCGGTTGGTGTTACCAACCGGGACTAAAGATCCCAGGGATCTTTAGTCCCGGTTGATAATATCAACCGGGACTAAAGATCCTATCTTTAGTCCCGGTTGGTGTTATCAACCGGGACTAAAGATATCGGGGGGCCTGACAAGGCCTGACAGATTTAGAACCGGGACTAAAGATCATTTTTAGTCCCGGTTGGTAACACCAACCGAGACTAAAGATCAAATATGCCCGCTGTAGCCACCAACCGGGACTAAAGATCATCTTTAGTCCCGGTTTTTAGTGGAACCGAGACAATTGTGGATTTCGGGCGACCGACCAAAGATGGTTTCTCCACCAGTGGACGACGATGGCGCGACCCAGCAAACCGGCGACACCGACGCCCACGCGCGCTGCATCCACACCTTGCCCTAGCGCCCTTGGCCCTTGCGAACTTGCCTTCACGAGTAATGATGATTAACGTAGCAGATTAAATCAAGGTGAGAGTCTTCTGATCTTATCACTACTGTAAAAACGATTTTGATTTTTCTATACGAGGGGCCCAATAGATTTCAGACAGACCGTAACTAATCGCTTGCTAAAATCGTTCTCCATTTTCGTATGCGGCTCCTTTAAGTGACCCGTATGTAAAAATCTATTTTTGCTCTTAGAGCATATCTAACAATAGGCCTTATTTTGAAGCCCCACTTAAATGAGGGCTGCCCCCATTTTTCAAAGACCCAAAAAAATGCCTCCAACTCCAGCAGTAGCCCTTATTTTTTAAGCCTCTATTCATGTTTCTCTTGTATTTTAAAATACAATCCATATTTACACTACGTTTAACACCACAATAATTTAAACATGAATATTTCTAACGCATATAATTTAACCATACTTAAATTCACAATTTCGAAGTGCACAATTCAAATTAAAAATCAAAGTTTTCAAACATGTAAATATGGTGTGGGCAACCAAGATTATACTGTTTATAACGTGTATTTATTTAGCATATATGTATTGGTTCTGCAGTATTAACGACTCAATACAAACAGTTAGTCATTCTGAAGAAATTTAGGACACTTGTACATGATTAGTGCCTGATATACTTTAGTGAAGGAGAAATTTGGGTGCCTTCCTATTTTGGGGGCCTTTAATAGGGGCCCTGCTATACCTTTATTTTTCTTCCTTCACTCAAAAACTCATTGGGGGCTTAGTTTAGACTCATTGGGGGCTTAGTTTAGGTGCTTTGCTGGAGATGCTCTTAAGGGGCCGTATGCAAAATGTATTCAATCGTATACCCATTGATTTCATATCCCTGCAATGTCAAAATTGAGTAAGATAGTCCTCTCGCCAAGAAGGCTAGTTGTTGGTCAATCGTCTCGTTACATATGAGATGTTGTCGCTGCCAAGCGGGGAAAGTATCAATGTGATGGCGTGTAATACATGCATCGGACTTTCCGATGTTTTTGGAGCGAACAATCGCCAAGTGCTCCTCGATTTAAGGAGCCACCAATGAAGATTGTTGCAAAACCGTGAAATGCGCTTTACGAAATAAATCGTTGTCTACATTCATTATTGTTTTCCTTCCAAGAGTCATATTTCCCCGCAGTCTCCCCTCATGACTTGATTCAGAGACCCTGATTGGACAAAGGTCTTCAATAAATTCTACGCAAAACTCAATGCCCTCCCCTGTTCCATACCCCTTGGCGATGCTTGCTTCCGGACGAGAACGATTATGAATGTACTTCTTTCGAACGCCCATGTACCTCTTGAAAGGAAACATGTTGGGTAGGTATGTAGGACCGAGAATACCAATCTCTTTCACAAGGTGACATAGAAGATGCGTCATTATATTGAAGAATGATGGTGGAAAGATTATCTCAAAGCTGACAAGACATTGCACCACGCTATTAAACTGTCTGGATCAATGATCTTCTGCAAAATTGCGTTCTGGAGTATCCAAACGGTACCTTAATACTCTTCAAGCATTCAAACATACTTTCCTTCTCTACCTTGCTCAGGGTGTAGTTGGCTGGACGCAAGTAATGGCTTCTTTTCTCCTTCGGTTCCGAATGAAGGTCGTCGCATTGTTTCATATGCTTGAGATCATTACGTGCTTTTAGTGCATCTTACGACTTCCCATATAAACCTAGGAAGCCTACCAGGTTGACGTAAAGGCTCTTAGTGAGGTGCAAGACTTCCCAACAGGGTATCTTCTAAAAAATAGACTTCTTCTTCTACATCGCCGCGTGACCGTCTTCACTCACTATTGGTTGGCTGCCAGGTCCCTTTCTAAATAGTACTCTCAGATCTTTCACCAGAGCAAACACGGTTTTTCCGTTCCGATGCTTAGGCTTAGTACGTTGGTCTGCCTTCTATTCGAAATGCTTGCTTTCTTCCGGACAAGGTGGCTTGCAATAAGGAATCGATGACGGCCCATATAAACAACCTTCCTACAATGTTATAAATACGTACTTTTAGTTTCATCCATACAGTGCGTGCAAGCCTTGTACCGATTATTTGACTGTCCGGATAGGTTGCTAAGTGCAGGCCAATCGTTAATGGTCAGCAACGCTCGTAGGCCAATCTTATTTGTCCTCGTTCCACACGGGGGCACCTTCTTTCTTCACAACAGTTTCAGATTTTCAACCAATGGTCTTAGCTACACATCAATATCGTTTCCAGGTTGCTTTGGACCTTGAATAATAATTGGCATCATGATGTACTTCCGCTTCATGCATAATCAAGGGGGGAAGCTGTAGATATATATGGTTATAGGCCAAGTGCTATGACCGCTGCTTATCTCTCCCAATGGATTCATGCCATCCGTACTTAAACCGAACCCTATGTTTCGTGTATCCTCTCCAAAGTCTTCAAATGTTCTGTCGATGTTTTGCCACTGCAACCCATTGGTGGGGTGTCTCAGCATCCTGTCTTGTTGATGTTTTTCTGCGTGCCAACGCATTATTCTAGCATGCGCTTTCTTCCTGAACAAACGCCTCAGCCATGGTATTATAGGGAAATAACACATCAACTTAGTTGGAACTCTCTTTTTTGAAGGTTGTCCGTCAACATCACCTGGGTCATCTTGTCTAATTTTTTGTCGTAGTGCCTTACAAATCGGGCATGTTGTCACACCCCGAAGTTTTCCTCCCAAGCCAAAATTGTAATTTTTATAAATGACCCTAAGAAAATGCTGGTGAAATCAGGAGAAAACCCTAAGAAAGTAATGCAAATAATAATCGGATTTGACATGTGGAATTTTTCTTGAGTTCTACATGTCGAAATTCATTAACAGGATTTTTAGTGGAATTTTTAGAGCTCTAGAAATAATTTTAACCAATTAAAATTGAGCAAGCAATATTTTTAATTCCAGGGAAAATCCTTTTTCCTTTTTCTTTTTCTTTTCCCTCCCTTTTTCCTCCTTTTTTTTCGAATGGGCCGCCGGCCCATTCC